CCACTTTCCCTTCCAGTGTAGATGGTTTGGCCTCTGTCGCCAAAGGCCTAATGGACTTAACGAGACTCCTGCAGACGTAGCCAGCCCACGGAATCTTGAGTCTTGCTGGTCAGTGTGTGTTTCCTTCAGAGCTTTTTCCACTTTTTATTTCCAGTGGTTATGGAGTTCCAATTACTCATCATGGATTTGGATTTTCCACTCTTATTGTGAATTCAGAAATATTTTAAGGTTGGAAAGTTATTTTTTTCTTGCTGCTATTTTATTTCCTGGTTAAACTAAAATTACAAAACCAGGAAAATATATTTTAAAAAAACCCATTGAGGCGGCTATTTCTTCAATTGTAATGAAAGTTAAAAAACAAACAAAAAACCCAAATCTGTGAAATGAAGTCCAAAAGACAAATGATTCGGAGCGAGTGAAGGCGGTGAGCTGCTCGAGCCGTCTGCCTGGGCGACAGCAGGCCTGGACTGGCCTTGGCGGACTCAGGATCCGTCGGTTTGGGCCTCCTGGTGCGTGTGCTCTTGGTTATATAATACCAATGTTTGGCAACCGCCCCCTTCCTCTTCCTGATTGCACTCTGCCTACCACGGGGTTAGCCATTGCCACAACCAAATGGAACGAGACAGTCTTGGCCAGAGGAGGATTTGAACCAAAGATCCTCAGTCTTCAAGTTGTGCTTCCTCAGCCACAACCCCCTACCAGCTCTTCCACAGAGCGCTGGACTTGGAACCGGGAAGACCTGAGTTCAAATTTGATCTCAGACACTTCACTGTGTGGCCCTGGGCCAGTCACTTACTTCAGTTTCTTCTTCTGTAAAATGGGGATGATAGTAGCCCATATCTCACAGGGTTGTGAGTCTCAAACGAGATAAGATGTAGAGTGCTTTGCAAACCTTAAAGCAGTATATAAATCCTAGCTGCTACTATTAAGAATAGAATAGGTTTTAATAATAATAAGTAGTATTATAACAACTTGGCCCATTTTGGAGTCAGAGGAGCTGGGTTTGAATCCTAACTGTCCTCCTATGTGAGCGCGCCTCCCTGGGCCTCACTTTCCTGGGGCTGGCACCCTAAGAGCTCCACCACCAGTTTCTCTTTTGGGTTCCCCAGCATGCATCGGGTTAGTTTTTCCTTTCCTGTCTCAAAGGCGTGTTCTCAGAAATCAGGGAGATAAGTGACAACCACAGTCAGATTCTCTCTCTCATCTTGACAGAGGAGCCGTTCTCCCTGGCGTGCAAGGAAAACATGTTCCTCTCTCCTCCCTTCCCCTCCCTACAAAGAGCCTCCCACCCAGGGTGGGGCTGGGCTCACTGCGGGTCGCCCACTGTGGGAGCACCTCCCAGCCCAGCACTGGGAGCCGGTGGGAAGGTGGGACGGTGAGCTGGTGATCTGGGCACACTTATTATTTGTGGAGGAAAAGCCCTCCCTGGCAGAGCAGGGGCCTGGAGACTGCACCCCGCCTCTCCCACCACCTCCACCCTGGTACTTCCTGGCCTTTTCTCACCCTGTGAAAAGGGTTCCTTTGGGCCATGGCCTCACTTAGCTTTTTCAAACCCTCTGCTTTGTCCACCTGCCGAGTGGCACCTAAGGAGACCTCTCTGAGTAGCTCCGGCCGTGCCTGCTCCGCCTGCGCTGGAGACAGAGACATAGGCTTCTTTAAGGGACCAGGGCTGGCCGTGTCTGGTGGGAAGAAAGGCTTGCAGGTGAGGAAGGCCAAAGCCTCTTTCCCTTGGCGCCATTTTATGTCTTTGACTACTCTAAGGTTTTAAATGTTTTATTGATATCTTTGTGTTTATATTTTATTTATGTTACATATGTACTATATATAATATCTTTTGTGTTTTATTATCATTTCCAGATCTATCCTCTCCCTCCCCTACCCAAAGAATTAACCCCGCAATCAAAGAAATAAAATAGAGAGAAAAAAGCAATTTAGCAGAGTTAAATCTGACAGTATACAGAGGGTTCCACACCCACAGGCCGCCCCCTCCCCACCTCTGTAAAGACGGGAGGAAGGGTTAGCATTATTTCCATAGTAATGAACTGTGTTAAATTTTAAAATACTTAAAAAAAACCAGAGGTGGCTAATGCTATGAGAGATGAGTGTTTTCTGTTCCCTACCCAACCCACGAGTGGTGGGCACTGGGTCAACAATCTGAGGCCTGATTATCAAGGCCAGAGCAGGAAGGAGAAGGAAAGGAGAAAGCCCAGATAATGATGCGGAATTATAGCTACTGCAAAGACAAAAGGCTATCTGGCATCCAGAGGGAGAGAGACTGACCACAAGCATACAGGGCAGAAGCACTGAGGCCTAATGCATATGGTGGCCAGTCAAGAAACATTCGTTGAGCTCTGGGTCCTACCAAACTGAATGACTGCTAAAACTTCTCATGTATTTCCCAGCCCCTTAATTGTGGCTCCTGTGAAATCAGTTTGTGCCTAATTGTAATTGGCATCACATTCTTTAGTTCCGTAAACATTAGTTAAATCAATGCTTGCTACGTGTTAGGCTCCATACAAGGTGATGGAGATACAAAGTTACCTAAGACACAGTCCCTGCCCTCAGAGAGCTTATAATCTAGCAGGAGAGCAAGATGCCCACAGATGAGTGATATGACATCCAAAAAGGCTGCTGTTCATTCTGGGTGGCATTAAGGGAGTTCTAGAACTAGGAATGATGGAGGTGGCACTTCCCTTGTCCTTTGTGGTAGTCAGTTACTAAGCATTTATTAAGCGCTTACTGTGTGCCACCCACTTTTTTGGACACCATTCTGGGCGCCACGTTTTGGGAAGGACATAGACAAACTGAATAATTATTGTTTGTGGAGGAAAAGCCCTCCCTGGGCTTTTAGAGTCGTTCCATTTGGTTGTGGCAATGGCTAACCCCGTGGTAGGCAGAGTGCAATCAGGAAGAGGAAGGGGGCGGTTGCCAAACATTGGTATTATATAACCAAGAGCACACGCACCAGGCGGCCCAAACCGACGGATCCTGAGTCCGCCAAGGCCAGTCCAGGCCTGCCGCTGCCCAGGCAGACGGCTCGAGCAGCTCACCGCCTTCACTCGCTCCGAATCTTTCGTCTTTTGGACTTCATTTCACAGATTTGGGTTTTTTAACTTTCATTACAATTGAAGAAATAGCTGCCTCAATGGGTTTTTTTTTAATATATTTTCCTGGTTTCGTAATTTTAGTTTAACCAGGAAATAAAATAGCAGCAAGAAAAAAATAACTTTCCAACCTTAAAATATTTCTGAATTCACAATGAGAGTGGAAAATCCAAATCCATGATGAGTAAGGTGGTAGGCTTCCTGAGCAGGTGGTGGAAGGACCTTGGGGCACACTGTGCCAAGGGAGAGTAGAGAAGACTTGGGGGGCTGGCTTCAAGCATTTGAGGGGCCCTTTTGTAGGACAATGAGACTTGTTCTGCTCATTCCCAAAGGGGAGAGCTGGGAGCAACAAGGAGACCTTCAGAGGAGCAGGTGCAGGCTCAGAGCAACACACACACACACACACACACACACGTACGTGTGTGTGTGTGCGTGCACAATTTGTCCCCAACTTGGAGGTCTCCACAAGGGCAAAGGGCTACCTTTAGTGGTAGTGAGTTCTCCATCACTGCAAAGGGAGGTTTTGGATGAAATCAGGCTGTCCTAGACTGTGTGAGCTAGAAGAGGCCTTAGGTCATCAGAGGGTCATAGAGTTAGAAGTGGAAAGGGCAGCGCATAGTAGGCGCTCTCTAGGTGTTTGTTGTCAGTCAGTTTTCTTCCAGGGGACCTCATCCCAGAGAATTCTTTTCCAGGGAGGCTGGACAGAGCACAGGGACTTCTGGTTCTTGGACCTTCCCATCACCTCCCCATGTCAGATTTTTACTTAGGATATTTGGAAGAGAAGTGGCCTACCCAAAGAGGTGATGGACTGCTACTCATTGGAGGTCTTTCAGCAAGGCTTGATGACCCCTTGTCGGGTTTATTGTGGAGGTACGGATTGGCCTAGATGGTCACTGAGGCACAGTGCTAAATGAACCTAAGAGGCAGCCACGGGGGGCACTGCGGAGAGGTTTCTAGGCCCAGAGTTAGGATGACCTGAGTTCAAATGCAGCTTCAGGCATGTACCTGCTGTGTGACCTTGGCCAAGTCACTTAACCTCTGTTTGCCTCAGTTTCCTAAGCTGTAAAATGGAGATCATCAAAACACTTACCTCCCTGTTGTGAGGATCAAATGAGATAACATTTGAAAAGTGCACTTAGCACAGTGCCTGACACATAGTAGGTTCTTAATAAATGCTTGTTCTTTTCCCTTCCCCTCTTTGATTCCTCTCTGGGCCTCAGTTTCCTCATCTGTAAACTGAGGGGGTTGAACTGGCTGGCTTCTAAGGGCCCTTCTAGCCCTAAATCATATGACCCTATGACTGCTCAGTTCTGGGAAAAATGGAGTAATATGTCAAGCTATAAAGAGTTGAAAGGACACTACCCTTGGAGTCAAAAGACCGAGGTTTGAGGTTCTCCTAGTGACTGTGTGACCTTATCTTCCCCTCTCTAAGACTCAGTTTCCTCGTCTGTCACTACTGTATATATTAGAGAGAGCAGGGGTTTTAGCAACCATCTAGTCTAACCCTTTCATTTTACAGATAAGGCCAAGAGAAATGACTTACCCAAGGTCTCATTGGTCATAAGTGACAGGGGCTGGATTTGAACCCATAAACTCAGATCCAAGGAGGGCTGGACAATTAACCTCCAAAGCGTCCTTTCAGGACCATCCTGGGGATCCAAGGAAAGTACGTAGGAAGCACGATCTAGCCCCCTATAATACCCATGAGCTGTGCTCTCCATGAACATGAGCCCCCCTTTCCAAGGCTATTGGACTCCTGTGATTTCCTCACTTTGGCCTGTGGCTCAGGGCTTCACTGGCGCATTGGAGAAACTGAGAGCAGCCAGCGCTGAGCCTCGCACAGCTGGCACAGACTGACGCCTCTGTGGTTTTCTCTCTCCATTCTTTTCCATCTAGAGTATAAGAAGAAATATGGGGAGGAACATGGCTCGTGCCAGGCTGGGATAGCGGGCTTCTTCACTGGTGTAAGTATTGTCATGGGGTGTGGGGGTGGGGGTGGGGAGGGCAGTGGCGGTGTTTTACATTATTATTTTTCTGTCCTATGGGCTAAAAGAACCTGTCAGGGCCTCAGTTTCTTGATGTGTAAAATGAGGGAGGTGGACTTCACAGCCCCCAAACCTCTTTCTGGATCTGAGTCTCTGACCCTAGGACATCTCTGGTCCTCAGTTTCCTCATCTGTGAAATGATGATTTGATGGCCTCCAGGGTCCCTTCCAGCTCCATACGGAGCCTTTGACTGTCCTGCTAGAGAGATCAGCCAGCACCCCATGGGAGTGAGTAGCGCCCATTTCCATGGTGGTTTGGAAAGTCCTGGGTTGCCCTGGGGGCACTAGGTAGGCCACAGTGGGGCTGGGCTGTCACCTGAGAGAAGGCTTGGACTTTTTCTGCATGGCCTCCCAAGGCAGAGCTACACAGAGGGTGGAGATTGCAGAGGAGAAAGTGGAAGATTATTGTACAAAACAATTGGCTAGCAATGAGTGCTGGCCATGTGTGTGGGGTGGGCTGCCCAAGGAGGTGGTGGAGGTCCTTCTGCGAGGCTTGGCGACCCCTTGTTGGGTTTATTGTGGAGGGGTGGGTCAGACCAGATGGTCGCCGAGGGCCTCAGCTCTGAGATCCTGGGGTTCTTTCTAGACTGAATCAGCTCTTAGGAGGTGGGGTGGTTGGCCTTGGTACTGCTTAGAGGGCTGTTGTCTAGAAGAAGGGTTAGACTTTCTCTGCTTGCTCCAAGAGGGAAGAATTAGATACAACCAGTGGAAATTGCAGAGGCCTATTTCAGCTCAGTGTAAGGGAAAACCCAGTGTTTCAACAATTGTTGAGTTGTGTCTGATTCTTCACAATTCCATTTGGGGTTTCCTTGGCAAAGATACTGGAGTGGCCCTACTCCATCTCATTGTACAGGCGAGGAAACCGAGGCAAATAGTGTTAAAAGATTTGCCTAGGCTGGCACAACTAGTAAGTGTCTGGGGCAGGATTTGAACTCAGGAAGATGAGTCTTTCTGACTCCAGGCATAGCGTGCTATGCACTGTGGCGACCCTGGCTGCCCAGCAATTAGAGCTGTCCAAAGTCTGTAGGACCCCCTTGTTGGGCATGTGGTAGGTGTGGGGATTCTCGGTAAGGTACAGTCAAGCCGACAGGGCCTTACTGCGTGCCGGACACTGCTAAGTGCTAGGATACAGACACAAACAGGAAGAAAGGCAGCCCCTGCCCTGGAGAAGCTTCCAGTCTAACAGAGGAAGATAAGCAGCACAGGAAGCAGGAGCGAGGGGGCATGGGGGGAGGGGTGCATGGTGGACGGCACCCAGGAGGGGAGTCCTGAGTGCAGCCTGGAGAAGACGGGGAGGCTGGGTTTCCCGGCCTCTGAGCTCCCTTTCCATATCCATGACGCAGGCCCGTGGATTGGGGCAGGCAGCTCAGCTGTTTTCTCTTGCCGTTCTCACCATTAAGTGGTTCTTCCTGGTCAAAGTTGGCCATTCATATCTTTGGTTGTGTGTTTCTTCATGAACACAAATGTATGTTGTATGTTGTATGTCTATCTGGGTTTAAAGAAAAAAGCCTTTAAAATCATAGATGCTTTTTTGGCCAGGATCAAACGAGAAAATAAAGTGCTTTTCAAATTTTACCCCGCTCCAGAGGCTTAAGAGCCGGATGCTAAAGGAGAAGCGGGGTCTCGCAGTGTGTCCTGGAAGCCCCAGCCCCTCAAGGCGCCTCAGTCTCCCAGGGTCAGCTCGAGGTGTTAGGCCATCCTTCCTGACCTCCGGCCTCCTTCTCCTCCATGGTCCCCACTGCTCCCAGGGGCTCTCACAGAGCAGCTTCACGGTCCTGGTGCCCTTGCATGGGGGTGTGGCTCGCCCAGGATGCCAGGCAGGAGTGCTGCGTGGCAGTGGGTGGGATACGCGCCCTGCCTTTGGCCAGCGCCTGGTCAGAGGCAGCTGTTTCCTAGCCTCGCTGTGCTTGGCAGCTGCCGTGGGTTCCCAGGCGCTGTCCCTCCCTTGGCTCTTCCCTTTGTTCCAGAGGCGCCTTTGAACTCGGCTCCCTGTCTCCTGGACCTCAGCTGTTTTACATGGAGCAGGAAGCACAGATAAATGGGGGTCAGCTGGGCAGCTCTCCAGCTCGTGCACCTTCAGCGTCCTGGGGTCCCGCTCGCCCTCCAGGGGCTGGCGCTCACCTGGTGCTGAGCTTGGGAGGCATGACAGCACTGTCCCTCCGGACCAGCATGTGACCGAGCCCCTTAACGCCTGCTTGGCTTGGAGGCTCGCCCTGCGGTTCCTGTGAAGAGAAGGGACCTCCCGGCTACTGGCTTTGGTTGAGGACTTGTTGGTTCAATTTCATTCTCCTTTTAAAGTTAAATTTTACTTTTTTTCCCACTCAGCAAGTTTCTGTTTTCTGCCCCTGTCCCTAGGCAGTGGGGCCCCTTTTACCCTTTTCATTATTGATCCTCTAGAATTACAATGACCAACCATGATTCCAGAGACCACGGTAGAGAGCAGTCCTGACAGAGACATTGACCTCAATGCGCAGTTTAATTCCACAAGCATTTATTAAGTGCCTACTGTGTGTGAGGCATTGGGCTAGCGCCCAGACATCCTAAGACAAAAATAAGATGGTCCTGCCCTCGGGGAGCTTCTGTTTGGTGGTAGCTGCTGGAGCTAGAGGTGGAAGCTGGAGAGAGGGGACGGTGTGCGTGGAGGCAGGCCAGGGAGCTGGAGCAGAGTGGTGGATCTGGGAGGTGGAGGCTCAGGGAGGTCAGCCTCGCCTCCTTGGAGTCTTCACAGGTGGGTCACAGGTGGGAAGAAGGAGCGGATTTATTCTGATCGGCCCCAGAGGCAGAGGAGGAGCAGCTGGAGGTTTGTTGTAAGGAAAGACTCCTTAGCAGCGCTCGGGCTGGTGCTGGCCCCGAAGGTAGAGGGCTGGGAGCTTGTCAGAGACTCTTGTTCTCCTGGGGAGGAGGCTTCACGGCCTCCAAGGTCCACACCATCTCTAGAACTGCGATCTGAAGTCCTCTCTCCTCCCAGGCCTCAGTGTCCTCATTTGTAAAAGGCCTTTGAGGTCATTTGAGGACCAGGAGGGTGATCCTCTGCTGTCAGCAGGAAGGGAGAAGCCCTTCTTAGCCGACGCTGTTGATGTTTGACACCCTCCAAGCCCCCAGCCCCACTTTGACTGAACATCTCGGGGCCTCTCCTTCTTCCCCATCATTGAAGCCCGCTGGTCATGGGCCGGAGCAGGGTAGCGTGTTCCAGCCTAATGCAGCTGGGGAGCCCTTGGGATGAAGGCACGGGGGAAGGAAGGTGCTGGCCATTTGTCACACAGGGGGGCTTCCTCTCTAAAGCGTGTCCTCCCAGGCCCTCAGGATGACAGCTTCATAGGCACTGATCCCCTGTTCGCTCCTTCCTGAATGATCAGTGGGGAATCTCATCTCCTGCCCTCTCCCATTCTGTTTCTCACGCTCTTTCAGCGCTGGGCACCACATTCAAAGCCACATTTCCTTCCTGCTCTGGCCCCTTTTCCACTTCCTCTTTAGTATCTCTGTTCTCAGTGATGAGCTGTGCATGTCCCTTCTGAGGACACGATTTCACAGGCCCATCTGCTCTGAGACGTGTCCTGTCCTGGGTGACTTTGGGAACTGGTATCTGGGTTAGCATTTGGGGCTCCAGTCCTGGCTCTGTCAACGACGGCCTGGGTGACCTTGGGTAAATCATTTAGCCCCTTCAGGTCTCAGTTTCTGTATGTGCCAGATGAGAGAGTTAGATTAGATGGCCCTGGGCCCCTGCCAGCTCTAACGCGGGGCTCCGAGCGCCGTGTTGTTTTGAATGGAGCCTCATTTTACATCCTGTGGTAGAGAAGTCAGGGAACTTTCATAGGATCCAAGAGCTGGTAGGGGCCTCAGAGGACATTGAATCCAACCCTCTGATTTTATAGATGGGGAAACTGAGGCCCAAGGAGGTTATAGGATTATAGATTAAGAGGCGAAAGGGGCCTCATCTAATCCAACCCCCTAATTTTTCAGATGAGGAGACTGAGGTGCTCATGTAAATTGTCCAGGGTCACGCAGGCAGGAAAAGTCAGAGACAGACAGAAATCTAATCATTGCTGTCATGATTTTTCAGCATTTTAAGGAGTGATCATAAGAAATGGTGTGTTTTCTCGGTGAGAAGTGTGTCCCAGTCACCTCTGTCTTACAAATACTGATCTCGAAATGTGCTAGCAAACTCAGCCACCAAACTGAACTGGAATTAAACCCTGGGAACAGACCTAATTGCTGCCCACAGTCCCTTATACATAACAGTGACCCCGAAAAACTCAAGAGCAATCCTTTTAATAAACGTGGCGCTACCCGATACTCCAATTCCAGGCCCCATGGAGCAAGAAACTTCCAAAATGTGAAAGTCCCAGCAGAGGATGTGGGGAACAGAGGAGATGTGTGACATTCCCAGCCTCTGATCTGAACTCACATCTTCCTGGTGCCAAGTCCAATGTTCTAACCACTACCCCACACTGCCTCTCAACAGTAAAACCTAGTTTTACTCAACTAGTAAAACCTGAAGCTGGATTTGAATTCAGGTCTTCCTGACTTCAGGCCTGGCGCTCTACCCACTGGGTCATCCAACTGCCTCCCATAATTGGATTGTTGGGAGAGACTCATCACCAAGCGCGCAGCAGAGAGACCGTAGATAAGTTGTAGAGGTCCTCGTGGTCTGCCCTGGGGGACGCAGCAGCCACTCGGGTGAAATCATGTGGCCTTGAAGCTTGGCTGTGGAGTCCCAGGCCTCTATGCCTGGGGAGGTCTTCTGTCTGCTTTGGTCAGTATCTGCTTCCTTGTCGGCTGCCAGGACGTCCATGGTCACTTCTGGCTGCCTTCACGTTCCTATCTCTAGTGGCCCATCTCCTTCCTTAACTTGGGACTTATCACCTTCGGTGGGTTTGGAACGCAAAGAAGCGACCCATAAACCCGTGTAAACAGAACAGGAGCCCCATGTGCCCAAGAGTACAGTGTCCCAGCTTCTAGTGTGGGTCACAACCACAGCAGAGAGGTGCTGGGCTTGCGGTCAGAAGATCTGGATTCAAATCCCACCTCTGACTCTTATTAGTTCTGCATCTATGGGCAAGTCATTTAACCTGAGTGTTCTCATCTGTCAAATGGGGATGATGTCCCTTAGAGTACCTAGGTACCCTGTGCTTGTCTGAGGTTGTTGTCATCACTGTTCCTTTCCTTAGCATCAGACCATCTAAACAGAGCTGGGAGAATCATCCAATACAACCCACCCATTATACAGATGATAAAACTAAGGACTGCTTACCAGGTCATTGACGCAGGGTTTGAACACAGGCTCGCTGCCTCTAAACCCAGCATTCTTTCCACCGCATCCTGCTCATTTTTTGCATTTCATTGTTGTATGATTCTGGTGCACTTTCCAGAGTGAATGGCTGAGAAATGGGGCAGATTCTGGGCTCCTCCCTCATGAACTCTCTGCTCTTGCCCATGTCTTCTGACCCCTTTGGTCCTCAGGCTGCCATGATGTCACTCGGAAGGACAGAGGCTTGGTGGTCGTGCTGGGCTCTCTCCATTTCCTCGGGCCATTTCCTGCCAGACTCTCTCTTACTGCCTCTCCCATGTGATTCTCTGTGACAGGAGCTGGTCGTGATGGGAGCACCGGGTTCTTTTTACTGGGCGGGGACAGTCAAGGTCCTGAACCTCACAGACAACATGTCCTTCAAGCTGAACGATGAGGCCATCATGAACCGGCGCTACACCTACCTGGGTGAGTGGTCTGGGGGTTGGTGGGGGTCATGGGGCTGCTGGGAAAAGTGAGTCCAGAGCTTTTGAAGGACCGTTCCACCACGTTGGGTCCAAGGCCTCTTTAAAACATGATACTTCTACTAAGTCAACTTTTGGAAGAGTCACCTGGTCTCTTAGCCCAATACTCCCGTCTCTAGGATGGTCAAAGGGCCGAACGGGGGCTGTGAGAGTCAGTTAGAAAGCAGGCACAGAAGTCCACCAGGTGCTGCTGTTTTTATCTCCTTGCTTAGCCATCATTGTAGGCAAGTGATCCTTTTATTGGCTAGAATTGTATTTGGAGGGGATCATTCATTCATTCGGCCCTCCGTTTATTCATTAAGCACATGGTTGTCCTTCTGCAGAGCGCTTTGCCAGGCTAGGATGGGAGAGTACCAAGCTTAGATAATACATGGTCACTGCCTTCATAGACCTTGCATGTCTAGGAGAGGGAAAATCCACAAAAACAGATAATTGGATTATTCTCAAGTGCATTAGAAGGAGGCAAAACAAGGTCTCTATGAGGTCTGGAAAGGCTCTTACTGACCAGGGGTTAGAGAAGGCTTTTCTCTAGGTTTTGAGATGGACTTTGAAGGATAAATAGGAATTCAACAGACAAAGAGTTGGGCAGTGAGGACATTCTAGTCCAGAGGATAGCAAAGGCAACTGAGTCATCAGACTACAGGGTGTGTTTAAGAGATACAGAGTGGTCCAGTTTAGCTGGGCTGTAGCAAGCACGGAGGGATGTAGTATGGGCTCAGACTGGACAGATAGGATACCGCCAGGCTGCGGAGGGCCTTAAATGCCAGGCAGAGGAGTATGAACTTTTTTTTCTTTTTTGGCGGGCTGCTAGGGAGCTATTGAAGGTGGTTGAGTAGAGTAATGATGTGTCCAGATCTCTGCATAAGACAGATTATTTGGGGAGTGGTCTAAAGATTCACTTGGAAAGGGAAAAGTGTAGCAGTGAGAACCATTACAAGGTTTTTGCAATAGTCCAGGCAGTCAGTGAGTGACCGTGCTTGTTTGGGCACAGTGGAAAGAGAGAGAAAGCTGGGTGTGCAGGGGGTGCTGGGAGGGGCAGACTTCTCAGGGGGCCAGAGCTCCAAGCTGAGGTCATTCTATATTTATGGTCAAATGCAGCAAGTGTTCTCTGCTAAAAATAATGTGGCAGCATCCCTCCTACTTTCCACCAGGCATCTATTTGGGTTTCAAAGGAAACCCTTTAAGACGGTTGGAAATAGCCACGTTAAGAGGTAAAAGCTGTCCTGATGGACAGTGAGCTTGATGCTAAGCTGTAATTAGGGCTGCTTATCATGGACTTCCCTTATTTTCCCAAACCTTTTAATCTTCCTAAATGAAAAAGGAGCCAGCAGGTGCCACTCAATATGATGATGGGCTGAGTGTCTGTGCACGCGGGGACATATAAACACACACACATACACACACACACACACACGCTGCTGGAATTACAGGCTTCTGTTCTTTCATCATCTTTCAGCAGCGAATTAGAAAGCTCCATTTACGACAAGTTCATCAGAGGTGGCCCTGGCCCTTAACAGGACTGTTGGTGGCTTTTAATGGGAGAGTGCTTTTCTCTGTTTTGATCAAACATTTAAAAAATATTGTTTCCTTTGAAAGACAGTGAAGGCCAATGCTCCCTGCCCTCTGGCCAGGCGGGGGTGCTTCCTCTGCTGGAGCAGAGAGCCTTCGGGTAGCGTGGCAGTGCCCCGTCCTCATGTCTCACATGGGATGCCTCAGATTTCTTCTTAGAAGAAGGTGGGCAATGATTGGGGCGCCTCCATTATCCTATGTGCTATTGGCTTGGTCATTGGAGGAAACCCATTGCCAGTCTGATGCTGAGATTTGAGTCAGGGAAGGAGAAGCAGAAATCTTGGCTGTGACCCAGCACTGTCAGTCTTGGGAAGGTCTTTTCATCCTATTCTTCCCTGCCTTTTATTCAAGGACGGTCCCAGCAGCAGGGTCCGGCTGTTGTCTGAAGGCGGCCGGAGGCCTCATCACCATCCGGCCTATCATTTGACAGCGAAGTTTTTGGCCAAGTGACTCACATTTTGTTGATTCAGATAAATTTAACAGCAGAGAGAGGTTTCCTAATGATTAGCTAAGTTCTTACTATCATCCTTTGTTATTATGGATAACACACGTGTTCAAAAAGAACTTTGAAAGAAATCTGTGTTAAGATAAGAATGGGAAAATATAAGCTCAAAGTTACAGCTGATTCTCAGACTACTTATACTCACTCTTCCAAATGTCCAAGTCAATTCAACAAGCATTTATTAAATACCTACTATGTGCCAGACACTGGGTATCCAAAGACAAGATCAGAAACATTCTTTGCTCAGAGAAGTCACATTTTACTGGGAGGAAATAACATGTATGCAAACCTCCAGTACTCAAACAAAATAACATGCATGCAAATCACTGGTATGCAAATAAAACATGTATGCAAATATTCAGTATGCAAACAAAACAACATGCATGCAAATCACCGATATGCAAACGAAATAACATGCATGTAAATCACCAATATGTAAATCGTAATGGATGCAAGTACCAGTCAGTCAGTCAATAAACATTTATTAAGGGAAGACTATGTGTCAGACACTGGTCAAGCAAATAGATCGTAGCAAGTACAGTTAGCCTTTCCACATTGTAACTTTCCCCATCACGTTTCGATATATTGAGGTGAGGGTCGGCATTAGAAATTAAATGGAATTTTTTGGGAGTTTTGAGGAAACCAGAGATGATATGCAAAGGCCAGCAGCTGACATAGAAAAAGTTTAGAAACTTAGAAATGCATAAAATATATGTATAGTATTATATAATATCAACATATTTTATCTTTTAATACCAAAATAATTCAGACTTCTTCCAAAGGGAGGGCCAAAAAATTTTATGGGGATTTTCCAGACTGGCCTGTGTACAAGGAAGGGGTAACTGTATACCTAAAGTAAATATAAGGTAATTCTGTCTGAGGAGGAAATGCTGATAATTGTTGACATCAGGAAAGGCCTTTTGTTGGAGGGAAGTTAGAGTTTCCAAGAGGCAGAGTTGAGGAGTCGACCAATAAGCATTTATTAAGCACCTGCTATGTGCCAGGCTTTGTGCTAAATGTTGGGAACACAAAGAAAGGTAAAAGACAGTCTTTACCCTCGAGATGCTTACAGTCTAGAGAATATTCCAGGCCTGGGGTACAGCCTATGCAAACGCATGGAGGTGGGAGGTTGATTGGACAATGACAAGGAAGTCCATTTGCTTAGAACACAGAATGTGTAAGAGGGTGTCATGATAAAGAAGTTGGGGGAGATGGATAGGAACCTTCAGATGGAATTAGGATTTGTCGAAAATTGGCTGAACTAGGCCAATTTTTGCAGGCCAGAAACAATATCCAACCTATCTGAAAATTGACAGAAAGGATGAAATGCTTAGGCCAGAGACGGGCATCTTCCCCCTCTTTTACCCAGTCTGTGCCTTGTTCTCAGGCACATCTCAGGGCCTGTCTTTCTTCCACACTTGGAGCGTCAGTCCTTTAGAGACACGTTTTATTTCGACTCTCCCTGTCTACCACTCAGAAGTCTTCCCTCGTGCTGTCACAGATTCTCCATCCCTGCCTGCTTCCATGAATTCATGGCATTTCAGTGGCTCGGTTACCTTGGTTTGCTGCTGGGGGTTCAGGCTCAGAGAATGAGGGGGCTGCTTTGGAAATGTTTGGACTGATTTTTCCTCCTTCCCCTTCCCTCTCAATTTTGTTTTATCTCAGGATACGCGGTGACCGCCGGTCATTTTGTGCAGCCGTCCTCCACTGAAGTGGTAGGGGGAGCACCTCAGGATGAAGGCATCGGAAAGGTGGGGGCCTGTGGAACAGTAAAGAGGGGTACTCCAATCTGGTCGTCTTCTTTTATACAGAGGTGGCCTCCATGGCTATGCCACTGGACCACAAGCCATGGGTGGGTCTGCCATATTGAAATGGTTTCAAGCCATTCAGATGGTGACTGACCTTATGACTCATGTCCGAGGCTCCGTTGAGCCTGGTCTGGGGGCCTGGGTAGAATGCCGTGTCTCTGTTCTTAGAAACTGGCTGGGCTTCTGGAATGAAGGCCTTAGAGTCTGAGGAACCTGAGCGGTCTTCTAGCGTGACGTCTTTCATTTTGCAGATGAGGAAACTGGGGCCGACATAAGGTGTAGATGGCAGATCTGGACCTGGAAGGGACCTCAGGCAATTTAGTCTAACTGCTTCATTTTGTAGATGAGGACACTGGGGCCTAGTGATTTGCCTAAGGTCACACGGGTAGTAAGTAGCAGCAGCAGGATTTGAACCCGGGTCCCCTGACCTGAATGTAATGCTCCGTCCACTGCAGCATACTGCCTGACGTTTTGGGTCTGTGCACAAACCTGGGTGATGGGTGGGGAAGAGCGTGAGATTTAGCCCCGGCTACCTCTGAGAATGAACCTTGCTAGTGTTTTAATCAGGGTCAGTAGCCCTGAAGCTCCCAGGCCTCTCTAGAGTGCTAAGGCCAGTGTGAGGGGGTGTGCGTATACTGTCCAGTGACTTTCTCAGGATCTGTGTGGATATCGAAGGAACAGCATTCAGGGCTGTCTAACCATAGCTGCAGTGCTTGGGTGCTTTCCATGTGGGGCCCTGGAGTTGTCTAGGAATGCAGTTTAGTTTGACAAGCATTTATCGAGCACCTACTGTATGCCAGGCTTTATGCTGGGTGTATGACAAAAATGAGACCGGCCCTGCCTTCCAAGAGCTTACATTCTTCAAGGGCCAGGGATGACAGGGATACAGATAATTGCATCCAGAGTCTTTTGGGATGTTTTCCTGAGTTGTGGCAGTGTGTTCATAGTGAGAGAGCCCAGTTAACTCATGGGAATATTCATTCATTCATTCATTCATTCATTCATTCATTCAACATGTATTTGCTAGGTCTTCTTAGGCATCAGCCTCTGGGCTGGGTCCAGCCCTCAGGGAGCTTACACTCCTCTGGGTGGTGGGCGAATGGGGGGGGAGAAATGGCTCATACACAGTGAGGAAAATACAGAATTTGTGCTTGAGAAATACAAAGCAATTTCTGGGGAGTGATGGTGAAAGTTGGGCATACTACCCACTGGGGAACCCCAAAAGGGGTCATTGGGGGACTCTCTAGGGACTCCCACAATCACAGCTGTAGCCACTTGCCCATATCCCCAAATTATCTCTAGTTTTCTGGTCCCCTTCTTCTTATCTTGTGGCCCAACTTCAAACACCGGGGACCCCAGAAATCATTCCGGCCTGAGAGCATTTGTTCTCAGCAGCAGGTAAAGCAGGCCCCTTCTCCACCCTGGCAGGCCATAGTGGAGAGCCTGGCTGTGTGCTGGCTACAGTGTCTGACATCCTGGACCTCTGGGCGGCTCACTGTCCCGTCATGATCCACACTGAGCTGATTGCCACGTGTTCTTTTATTCCCCTCGCAGGTTTACATTTTCAGAGCTGACCGAAGATCAGGCTCCTTAATTAAGATCTTTCAGGCATCTGGCAAGAAGGTAAGCAGGGGCTGAAGAAATGCTTGTTGATTGCTGATGGATTTGAGAGGGGCAGGTGGGATCATAGGTTAGAAATTTAGACATGGAAGGGACCTTTAGGTCCTTGAGTTCAATCCCCTCATTTTACAGATGAGGACACTGAGGCAAACAGAGTAAATGACTTGCCCAGGACCACACAGCTGGTCAGTACCCAAAGAGGGGTTTGAACTCAGGCTTTTTTGACTCTGCGTATGGTGCTTACTCCACCATACTACATTGCCTGTCTTAGGAAGCTGACATTTAAAAAAAATGCTTTTGAATAATTTTAAAGGTTAGAAAACTTGTGGTATGTTGGAAAGAGCCCTGGCTTTAGTCGAAGGACCTTAGTTCAAATCCTGCCTTAATTGTGTATCACTTATTGATCTTGGACCAATCAGTTAGCCTCCCTGGGCCTCAGTTTCCTTGACTGTAAAATGAAGGGGTGGAAGGAGCTTATACAGTAACATTTCTTGCTCATACGAGACCTTTTACAAGTTGGAGGAACTTGTGTGACCCATGAATTCCTGAGGTCCTTCATGGCTATTTTATAAAGTTCGTGGTCATTCTAGTGCCTTCTCTCTATTCCCTTTTATCTTAGTGTGTGGCACACAGTAGGAGCTTAATAAATCGGCTGATTGATTGTCTATCATCTCTGGCTAATCCTGCTCTGTCTTGTTTGCACATAGTTGTTGGCAGGTTTTCTCCCCAGTTCGATTGTGAGTGCTTGGAGGGCAGGTCTTGCCTTGCCTTTCTTTGCATCCCCAGGGCTTCCACAGTGCATGACACACAGTAGGTGCTTACTACGTGCTTGTTGTCTGAATCAATTGCCCTACATAAGTCGAGAGCGCTAGAGGAAAGCTAGAGAGACTAGATGGGCCAAAAGCCAAGTCAGCCGAGAGTCCACACAAATGTCCTTGGAGGCGGGAGCAGCTTTCATCATTCTACTCCCCTCTCTGTGTTTGCAGTTGAAGGCTGATGGCACGTTCCAGGGTGGCCTGAGTGTGTCAGGGTCTCTGGGGTAACGATTGGTGGGTGGGGTGTCAGAGATGGACTTAAACCCCTCTCTTTAAGCCACACTTGGGTCAGAAAGCCAAAGGAGGCTATGGCTGAATGAGGAGGAGGCTTCTGGTTGAAAAGTTTGCAATTTTCCGAGTGTTCCTCTTTCCCTTGGGCCAGGAAGCCCGCCAGCCCCTCCTGGCCAGCCTTCCCACGCTCCCGTGCTCCCTTTTCCTCCCACCTGCTCCCGTCTCCTTGTCTGGAGATGATTCATGGGGAGTCTGAAGGGGAAGCGAAGGAAGGCCCTGGGAGTGGGTGGGAACCTGCCTGGGCTTTTCTGCTGAGGTCGCCCTAAGCGTTCTTGAAGTGTTCATGGAGACCTTCTCTCCCTGAGGGGTTCCCGGTCACACGTGCAGAAGGAAGAAGGAGTGATGGGCTGCTCTTTGGCGTGCCGTTGGCCGGGCCAGCAAACAGACAGAAGGCCGCTTAGCTTCGCTGCACCTTTCTTGTTGGAGCTGTGGGCCTCGTTTACCTTTGCTTAGGTGGGGTTTTGGACTGGTATTTCCTCCCTCTGCCATCCATTCCACTCTCACTTCCTCATTGTGTTTAGCCTGGAGAAAGCTCCCGAGGGCCATGGTAGCTCCATGGAGTCCTTGAAAGGCTGACTGGAGCAGAAGGGATTTGCCCTATTCTGCTCGGCCTCCGAGGGAGGGCAGAACCAGGATTTCTGTAGGGAAGTGGGGAGAGGTGCGGAGAGGCAGATTTAGGCTTGACTTTCAGAAAACCTTCCTAACAATTAGGGCTGCCTGGAGAGGGGATGAGTTCCCTGTCGTGTCACAGGAGGTCTTCAGTCAGGGGCTGGATGATCTCTTGTTTGGGGGATTCTCGTGTAGGCACAAGTAAGACGAGATGGCCCCGAGGTCCCTCCTTCCCTCCTTCTGCTTGCTGACGTTCCTCCCCTGCCTTTGATCTTGGGTTATTCTCCATCACTGGTCATTTGCTATCGAAGATAGCTTTGCTCCTCCCCTCTCCCACGCGTTGCTTTTTCTTCTGTCCGTAATTGATCTGTGTTCCTCACGTAAGATCCTGGGATCACAGATTTAGAGCCAGAATAGATCTCCAAGGTCATCTAATACAGCACTTCTGGCCAATTTATAGATAAGGAAACCGAGCCATGGAGTGGTCGAGTGACTTGCCCCAACCTACCCAGGGAGGGATCTTTCCCCTGGACCACACCGTGTCTCACTGGAGATGGGGGTCAGAGCATGGTTGGTTATGCCCTGACTAGCAAGGTGGATCTTGTGGATTGCCTTTGATCGAATTAACCAAGTATTCTAAGTATTTGCACACCAGAACTTAGCTAGGAAACTTCCGTGTTAGAATTTCTGATTGGGCTGTTAGGAAGATGCCAAGTTAAATGGTCTATTGGAATCAAAGAAGTGGTTCCCTTGGGGACGAGCCAGAGAATACGGTTGTTTCGTTCTCCTGGTAGGGTTCTCTTTACATCTCTTCTAATTTTCTAGCTATCACACCATGTTACATAGCATCACTATGTATGGACTCAGGTCTCAGTGGCCATGAGCTCCTTTGGGGCAGGAATTGTCCCTTTGATAATTAGCTTTTATATAGTGCTTTAAAGTTTGCAAAGCTGTTAGTATCCCCATTTTACAGATGAGGAAACTGAGGCTAAGAGAGGGTAAGTGACTTGTCCAGGGTTACAAAGCGTGTCTGGTCAGGAGGCAAGGTTTGAACTCGGGTCTTCTTGACTCCATGTCTAACCCTCGATCCACTGTACCGCCCAGCAGCTTCATTCACACTTTGCTTTTTGCCCTATGCTCTATGTTCTACTCATAGTACTTGCTTAACAAATGCTGGTTGTCTTGGCCTCTGCTGGCTTACTTTGGTCACCCAGGGCTGGTTCACCAGGTGGTGCTGCCTCCTCAGAGACCTCCAAAAGGGGACTGGAGAAGATGGTCGGGGGGGAAGTTGCCCGTTGACTCCTCGGCCATTCCCTCAATTTCTCTTTTCCACACCTCTGCTAAGCCCTCACTCGGGGTGAGATGGGAGGGGAGGGAGGCAGCCTTGATGTCAGGTGGGGGAAGGAAATCTGGGCTGCTTGGTACCCAGGCCTTCCTGGGCCTGGATTCAGCTGCTGGCGGTGGACTGGAGTTGGCCTCTTACAACTGTCTATGGCATTTAAATGAACTTAGCCACCAATGCCCAGAGAGCCTTTGAAATGCAGCCCAGTCACCAGGCCCCATTAGATGAATCACATCCTAGGGCAATGAAAGTCAAATTGTCATCAAGCGTTTATTAAGCACCTACTATGTGCCAGGTGCTGTGCCAAGAAAGGGAGCATGCACAAAGAAAGGGAAAACATGGTTTCTGTGGAGGAGGCAGAAGGGAGAGGGGGCCAGGGAAGCCAGGAGGCCAAGATGCATAGAGAGTGCATCCCAGGTGTGGAGAAGAGCCAGGGAAAAGTCTTGCACCGTCTTGCATGAGGAGCAGTAAGGAACTCAGTGTCACTGGATCACAGAGTAGATGGGATGAGTAGGGTGTGAGAAGATTGAGAAGGCCGGCGGAGGGCCAGGTAATGAGGGCTTTAAAAGCCAAACAGAGGATTTTGTATTTGATCCTGGAGGTGATAGGAAGCCACCAGAGTTTCTTGAGTAGGGGAGTGACATGGTCAGATCTGCGCTTTAGGAAAATCACTTAAGCGGATGAATGGAGGATGGAGTGGAGTGGGAGAGATGAGGCAGGCAGACACCTTCCCACCCCCAAAGCTATTGCAATTATGAAAGTGTGAGGTAATGGGGGCCTGTACCAGAGTGGTGGCAGGGTCACATATGCATGTTGAGCTGCTGCTGCTGTTTTTTGAAAGATTGTGGAGAAAGAGAGAGTCTCTAGGACCAGATATGGGCAAGGGTTCAGATTTTCAAAATTATGCATCAGCCTTTGACTCTTCAAGGTCTACCCTGGAGCATGTCAATAAAGGGATGGTATGTCGGCGTTTGGAAAGGGAAGCAGTGATCATTGACAGACTGGCCAAGTTTAAGAAGAAGAAATGGAACTGGGACAAATGGAGGACATTGAGGGGTAGGGACCAGACCTGTGATTTCATTCATGCAGGAGGAAGCTCCCTTTACCAACACAGGTTGGCAATTCCCTGTAACTTCTAGGGTTGGAGGGTTTCCTAGAGCTAGGGTCACACAGCCAGCATTCATCAGAGGCTGGTCTTCCTGACTCCAAGGCTGGCTCCCTGCCAAAGTCATCAATAAATCAATAAGCATTTACTAAGTGCTTACAGTGTGACAAGCATTGTACTGGGCATAGAGCTGCAAGCAAATAGAAAGACAGTCTCTGCCCCTCAGGGAAGGTAGAAGATAGCACATAAAAAAGAGCTGAAAAAACTGGATAGAGGGCAGTTCACTTCAGAAAATCAGCTGTACAATTATAAAACGGGAGAGCCATAGTTAGACAAGAGTGTATTTGGGAGTGTTAGCAGACTCCATGCTCAGTATGGGTTGGAAGCATGCTGTTGTGGCCTACAGTGCTGATGCAAGCTTAGGCTTTATGTCCCAGGAAGCATTTGTCCAGAAAGGGGGGTGACGGTCTTGCTGTCCTCTGTCCTCCTCAGACCACATTCAAGGTATTGTGTTCTCTTGTGGGCACCACATTTTAGAAACAAAATTGGCAAAGTGTGGGTTCGGAATAGGCTCAGGAGAAGATTACGCGGGTAGTTAGAGGTCTGGGCACCATGCCTCATGAGGACTGGTTGCAGGAACTTGGGATGCTTAGCTTGAGAAAACTCCAGGGTGACATGATTGCTGTCTTTGAGTATCTGAAATATCGAATTATGAAAATGTGGAATGTTTTCATGTGGAGAGAGAGATTCGACTTGTTTTTCTTGACCTTAGAATAGTGGATAGAAGTTGTAGGGAGGCAGATTTCATCTTGAGATAAGGAAAAGCTTCCTAAGATGAGGGGACTGGACCAGATTGATTTCTGGGGTCTCTGCTAGCTCGAGGTTTATGATCTTATAATGATGCGATACTGAGAGGTCGAGCTGTCCCAGAGAGTGATGGGATGGACACCTTGAGTGGCAGGGAGCTCACCACTGGAAATATTGAAGCGGAAGCCTGTTACGTTGGCTGTCTTGTCAAGGGATTCTTATTCAAGTACAAGAGTCAGTTGGCGTATTAGAAAGAGTACTGGCTCTGGGGTCAGTGGCCCTGGGTTCAAACACCACTTTTGGTGTTCACTCTCTGCACCTCAGTTTCCTCATCTGTAAAATGAGGGAGGTTGGGTTCGGTAACCTCATGAGGTCCCTTCTGGCTTTGAGAGCCTGTGATTCTGTCAAACAGACTAAAAATACGAAGGGAGGTGTTTATGTTTATCAACTTAAAATAAAAAGCATTTGAATTTTATGTGTCCTGGGAATAATTTATTTCTGTTTTAATATAATGGATGTTGGTTTATATTCCAAGTGGAAAAAAACCCGAATTCTCGGCCTGGCCTGTGCCCTCCTTGGAGAACAGTCTCGTGGGCTGCAGCCTTTTTTCTCCCATGAGCTCACACATTTGCAGCCTGCTTTTTCATGGGCTTGAATGATGGAGGGAGTGAGTTCGGTTGCTTCCTAGCATAGCATAGCATGTCTCTCCCGGGCCGGCTGTGTCTTGTGAGTGTTCGTTTTCCCAGTTGCCTTGGCCCTGACAAATTTATAGTCTTGATTTTTTGATAAATGAGGCACATTTATTATGGTTATTGACTGCACTTGCAACCTTAGCAAGCATTTTTAGAAGTCTGTTCCCTAGAGGAGCTCTTTCCTGTGCTATGGTACGCCTCCAGTGAAGGCCCTTGGAGATATTTAGTTCTAGTCTCAGGTTCATTAAGTTTCTAAAAATCGCTGTTAGTCTTTCCTGTGTGAGAAGGCACAGCAAAGGCACTTTTTCCACTGCTGGTTTTGGACTTGAGTCAAGTCAGAAGCATTTATTAAGTACCTACTGTGTGCCAGATACCGACCTAAGCACTGGAAGTTAGAAGACCTAGGTTTAAATCCTGCCTCTGACATTTTTAGCTATGTAATGTTGGGCAAGTCCATTAATCTGACTGGGTCTCAGTTTCTTCATCAGTAAGTAATGGGGGGGGGGTGGAGCAGATGGTTTCTGTTATCCCTTGTAGTTTTATATCTATGTTTTTATTAGCTGTGTGGCCTTGGGCAAGTCATTACTTGAGGCCCTTTGGGCCTCAGTGTACTCATCTATAAAATAGGAAGGATTGATGGAGTACTTTAAAGCTGGTTAAGTTCTTCTTATCCCTGATATATCATGTGTCTTGTCAGGTTGACTCTAAGATACTTTGTCTATTTTATAGTTTTTTTGGTGGAGTTTTTTTTTTTCTATTTCTTCCTCCCATGTTTTGTTAGTATATTCTGCCATTTGAACCTCATAACTACCCTATTATCAGTATTATTTTGCCTATTTCGTAGATGAGGAAACCGAGGCTTAGAAAGTTTAAGTGACTTGCCTTTGGCCTCCCAGGAAATAAGTATCAGAGGTGGGATCTGAACCCAGCTCTTCCTGTCATCGCCCTGCTGCCGTGAGGGTGTGGGACTAGATGTTATCTGAGATCTCTTACTCTACATCTATGACCCTATGATACTAGTTTTGTGACCTTGGGCAAGTTGCTTTTCCTCTCTGGGCCTCAGTTTCCTTACCTGTAAAATGAGGGGACGGACCTTGATGATTTCCAAGTCCCCTTACAGTTCTAGGTGTGTGAGCCCTTGACGCAAGATGAGGCCGGCCTCGCCTTCCCTGAGCAACCAGTCGAGGGGAGGTGTGGCTCATTTCTCCGCTTCCGAGCCGGGCTTTTTATTGGTTTTTGTGTCCTGGCCCTCCTGGGCAGTCAGTCTGGTGAAGCGTACGGATTCCTTCTCAGAGTCATGCTCTTAAATGTGTAAAGTAAAATAGACACCGTTACAAAGGCACTGATAGTATTGCTTGGTAGTTATCGAGATATTATTAAGCCCCACAAGTCTACGGGCCCTCGGGGAAGAACCCTTATCGGACTCCACTCATGCAGCCCCAGTCCCGTCCCCGGTCCCCGGGAGCTTGTCCTCTAGGGGTCTAAAGTGCGTGCGCGCTTTCCCTGTGTGCGGCACCTACTGAATGCTCTGTTGTGACTCGCCTTGGTTACAGATGGGCTCTTACTTTGGCTCCTCCTTATGTGCAGTTGACCTGAATGCGGACGGCCTCTCGGACCTGCTGGTCGGCGCGCCCATGTTCTCTGAGGTCAGGGATGAGGGTCAAGTCACCGTCTACATCAACAGAGGAAATGTGAGTCGGGGGCCTGGCGGAGCAGGGAGGCGGGATGGAGACGAGTGATGGGTGACGCCGTAAGAGTAGTAATAGCGATTGACCTGGGTCCAGTGGGTGCACGCCTGCCCTCCCACCGCTCCTCTGGATTCATTATCTACATGTTGTGTGCATCTCGTCGTGTGTGCGCGTGTTCCCAGTGAGACTCCAATTCAATTCAGTAAACGTTAATTAAGCACCTGTTTTGTGCCAGGCAGTGGACTGTTCTTTGAGGATATGATATCAGTCAGTCAATAAACATTTATTAGGTGCATACTATATGCCAGGCATTGTGCTAAGTGCTGCTATAGTCCCAAAGTGCAGCTGTGATGATATTATTTCTTATATCAGGAAGTTTTCATGCCTTCATTTTGTCTATTAGCATCAGATACAGACTTGTCTGTCAGCCTTTCACAGCCTGGCCCCAGCCTACCTTTCAGCCGCCTTATTACGCATTACTTCCCTTCCACACTCTTTGGGCCAACCAAGTTGGTCTTCTTGTGATTCCTGCCTCTGGGCCTTTGCATAGGCTGCTCCCCCTGCCTAGGATGCCATTTCTCCTTACACCCACCTCCTAGAATTCCTAGGGTGCTTCAAATCTCTCCTCTCCTCCTTTCCTCTGTACCAGGCACTGTACTTACCCCATGTAGGTCATTTAACCCTCAATCGAGTCCTTAGGATTTCTCTCTTCAGTCATAAATGGGTTCTAGTCTGCATTGGAGCAGGAATGCCTAAAGCCAGAGGTCTGTCCCCAGATGAAATCTCAGCCCCCCAGTCTCTTACCTTGTGGGTCCCCTGGCTAACAGACAGAACAGGTAAAGGGATCTTCTCGGTGAGGCGGCAGCGGCCTTGGGGGCTGTCCAGGTGTTTCCTGTGGACGGTATGCTTGGGTAACTGACCAGGCTGTTTTTCTTAGCCTGTCCCATTTCCTGTCTCCTAGGGGGCCCTGGAGGAGCAGCTGGTCCTGGATGGTGACCGTGTCTACAATGCCCACTTTGGGGAGAGCATCGCTGCGCTGGGGGACATGGATGACGACGGGTTCCCAGGTCAGGGGCTGACGCACTTGAAAGGCAGTGTCTAGTGTTTCTTGGGAGAACCTCCTATTTAGAACAGAAATGGAATCTGAATACGGCCCTCCTGCCTCAGGGAGTGAGGTCTGAATTCACCTTGGAAAGGCTGGAGACTAGAGCTGAACTTGGAAGACAGTGCAGTTTTGTTACTCGCTTTTTCCCTTCCCTTTCACTTACTGATCTTTATGTCCTGTAGTCTGTGATTTCTGCCTCTTGTTTCATGTCTCTGTTCTCAGTTGCTGACATCTGGCTGTCCCAGCTGGGCCTCTTATCCCAGGGAATGTTGACCAGGTGGCCTGGCTTCTCATACCCCTCGTCCTCCACGCCCGGCTTCACTTCTCTGGTCCTGTGTGTGTGTCGTTCTCACGCTGGGTTGGAGTGAGCAACATTCCTCATTTCAGTGTATTGGCTGGATCTTGAAAGCAGGAACCGTGCATACATCTGGACATGCATACACGTATGCCTGCTCTCATCACTGTCAGTCAGTCGATAAGCACTTTTTGTGCACCTACTATGTACCAGGCACCATCCTGAGCACTCAAGGGGGAGACAGCAGGCAAACAACTCTATACAAACAATCGTGATAGTGGTGTAAACATTTATTAAGCCCACACTGTGTGCCAGGCACGTCCTAAATGGTGGGTATATGAAGAAAGGCTAAAGACAGCTCCTTCTGTCAAGGAGTTCACGGTCTATCGGGGGAGACAGTGTGTGAACAACTTTGTGCAAACAAACGCTGTGGTCGTTCAGTGATCGTTTATTAAGTGTGTGATATGTGCTGGCCTGTGCTGGGGATAGAGAGAGAGGCAGAAGGCAAGCCCTGCTCTCAGAGAGCTCATGATCCAGTGGGTAGACACAGGGTACTCGATATGGGTAAATCACGGGCCTTGGGTTCAAATCTCACCTCAGTGAGTGACCCTCGAGGCTCCTTCCATCTCTACAACTCCCACCCTCTGATCTGTGTCCTCTGGAGCTCAGTATGAAGGCCTCAGTAATGAGGATGAGAGAACATGGCCTAGGACGGGGCATTCTTGCTCAGATCAGCAGCTCTGCCGGCCCTGGTGGCTTTCACAAAACTACAGCATTTTGGCTTCTATTGAATTGAAAGACAGGAAGAACACCAGAATCAGAGTCAGGGGCTGCGGGTTCGGATCTCGTCTCTGCCACTTGATACCTCTTTGACCTTGAGCAAGTCACTTAAAAATAATAATAATAATAATGGCTAACATGTGTATAGTGCCTACTACTACATATGGGCCAGGCACTGTACCAGGTGCTTTACAATCATTATCTCATTGGGTCTCCACAACAACCCTGGGAAGGAGGTGCTGTTATTTATCTAAATGTCTCTGGGCCCCAGTTTCCTCCTCTGTAAAATGAGGGTTGTACTGGATAGCCAGCCTGTAAAGCTAGCTTTCAATCAATGATCTTAGGATGCCCTGGAAGGTTCCTGTTAGCCCATGATTCTCTAGGTGACATTCCTTTTTTCAGCCTCAGTTTCCTCATCTGTAACTTGCCGTTCACTTTCCTGTCTTGGAGGAAGTAGAAGGCGGAGGGTCTTTAAACCCCTCACCCCTTTGCTCTCTTCCCAGCTTCAGTTGGGCTCTTTGAAGCTCATTAAAAATTCCTTCAAATCTGGCCTCAGACACTCACTAGCTGTATGACCCTGGGCACGTCACTTTACCCTGTTTGCCTCAGTTTCCTCATCTGTAAAACAAGCTGGAGAAGGAAATGGCAAACCACTCCCATATCTCTGCCAAGAAAGCCGCAAAGGGGTCATGAAGAGTCAGACGTGACTGAAACAACTCGACAACAAAAATTCCTCCATACCCACAAAAAGCTCATGTTTAATTCGTCAGGTGGGCTGATTGTGTTTCCAAGAATCAAGCCCTTCTGGTGTAGAGGGGCTGAGTGATAATAAGCGTTCACCCTTTGGAGTGTTCTCACTTTTCCGCCCCTGACGCTTCTTCTCTCCTCAGATGTCGCCATCGGGGCACCTAAAGAAAATGACTTTGTGGGAGCTGTGTACATCTACCACGGAGATGCTGACGGGATCGTGGCCAAGTATTCCATGGTAATTTGTGGCGGGGCCTGTGGGGTGCCCTTTAAAGGTAAAGCTACACTAGGACTTTTGAGGTACCCTGTATTTAACCGTAGCAGAGTGCTCGAGAGGCAGTGTGGCATGCTGGAGCTGGCCAGGCCCGGGTTCTAATCCCACCTCTGATATTTACTCTGGCCACGGTGCTTGTTTCTGGGCCTCAGAGACCTCCCTTGGATGATCCACTAAGTTGTACATGGGGTGTGATCTTCAGGGCATGATGAAGTCACGCGTCCTTCTGGTATACACACTCCGGGGTCCAGGCACTGTCCAGGCCAGCCCTGCTCCCATTCTTCAATGTGCAGACTTGAGGGGCAACAGTGCACAATTCGGCCTCATGGGGCTTGGTTTTCTCTCAGAGTGACTGGGCAGGAAGCAAGTTTTCCTTGTGTCCAGTGTCTGGTCAGATGCATTCAGGTGTTAACCGGGGCTAGGCCAAGAATCCTGAAAGGGCCTGGGCCTGAAGCTTCCTTTGTCCTTTGGAGAATCTGCTCACTTGGTGCCACCAGCCCATTTCGGGTGTGGAAGCTGCCCACCCCATGGGCAGTGCCATGGCAACTTGAGTTCAGTCTGTCTTCTGGCATGGGGCACAGCACAGAAGTGACACTGCTCCCAGGGCAGCTTCCTCTGAGCTGGGATGGAGTCTTCACCTGGCCCTGGGAGGGGCTTTTGGAATGCCTGGATATCTGTGTTGGAATGAATGAATGAATGGAAAAGCATTTATTAAGTGCTTACTGTGTGCAGGACACTGTGAGAATCACTGGAGATACAAAGACCAAAAAGCCTTTGTTTCTGCCCTCCGGAAGCTTACACTCTAACAAGGCAGTAGAGGCCAGGTGGGGGAGCTCGGGCCTGGGAAGTCACGGGGCTGGGGAATGAGCCCGGAGGATGATCATCCTTTCTAGGAAGGGTCATGTTGATTCAATCTCTGTTCTCTGTGCTGGAGTAGGAAAGCGAGGGTGGGGTGAGGGGAGGAGCGCACAGATGGTGGCCAGATCTGAAGAGGGCTGGAGAGCAGCAGCGTGGTGGGTCTGGGTAGAGAATGAGTTCCCGTATTGCCCCTCTCCCAATGTGGGAGACTCCCAGAAATCACATGCAGCATCTGTAGTAGGGGTGGGGCCGGACAGTTAGCAAATTCAGCGCTATCAGCTTGTGTCTTTGAGTACGTTCTAAATACTGTGTGTGAACTGCACCGGAGACCCCCAGTCGACCCAGGAGGGGCTTGTCCTGAGTTGGGGAGACAGCCCCCGTCCATAAAGGAAGGGAACAAGGCTCAAAGGCTTTCGTTGTTGGGTGGCGTAAGCCTTTAAGGATGGAGAGGATGATAACTGCTTCTTGACCAGTGTGGACAATGAGGCTTCTGTTCACAGCCGCCTTTCTAAAAGGAGCGGTGCATTAGGAACCTTTTGTTTTTTTAGCATCTTGAGGAAACAAAAATGTTGCCAGAGTTTTGGGCCCTGCTGGAAAAGGCAAGACTGATGAAATGCCTCAGGATTTAGAAACATGGAAAACACTGTCAGTGAACAATATGTCCTGACTGGGGCAAAAATGATTTTTATTATAAAGTTGGTAATCCTCTCTACAAATAAACAAATAGCAAACAGAATATGCTCCCCCAAATAAGATCCCAAATCAAAATTATGTACATTTGACTAAGTGCATGCATGCATGCATGCATACATATATACTATACTATGTAAACACACACACACACACACAGACACACACACACACACACGGTGTTCCAGAAATTTAAGCTTAAATATTGTAAATCCATGTTTTGTATATGTATATACATGCACTCATGTAAATGTATACATGCACTTATATGTGTATATAAATATATACTTTATAAACTTTATATATGTATACATATTCATGTATATATGTAAATTTTAACAAAATATTCATGATGACAGTTTCTCTGCTCTCATCCTTTTCTATTCTCTTTTCTGTTCATGTACTTAGAATATTTTGTCCCTCTTAGCGAATATGGCCAGAGCCCACGTGTGCGAATGGCTCTTCTTGCTTTGTTAGCCTTGCTTTGTCTTACTCGGTCGGTCTTTCCATCATTCTTGGTATGCTTAACTCCCTCACTTTTCTCTAGACCAGTTTTCTAATATCCTGATGTCGCGTTCAGCCGTTTCTCAGTGGTTGAACGTGCAGATTAAGTCCTCAATGGATCCATGACCTCTTCAATGTGGATGCTTCTTTCAGAGCCGCAGGTCCCCACTCATCCATGCCTGCCTGTCCTGTGTGACGTGTGTTAATCAGTTCGTTGGTGAGCCTTTATTGAGGGCCTGCTGTGTGTTGGTGCTGGGCCATCGCCAGTCGTCTTGACCCTTGTCTTGCCGCTGTATCGGAGCAGAGTGAGGCTGATGACTTTGCTCGGCTCTGCCTCACTTAAATCCAATTCACTCACAGGCGATGTCAGTGGTCCTCTTGGAGAACAAAGGGTGAACAACAGTAACGTGTTGGGCCCTGGAGATAAAAAGAAGCCGTGAAACAGTCCCTGCCCTCAAGGAGGTTACATTCTCAGAGGGGAGACAGCGCGCAGTGGAATGGGGATCAGGAAGACAGCAAGCACTTGATTGGACGGAGCCTTGCACAGTCTGAGGTCACCCACCCAGTGCATTCTGGGGACACTGCTGGGGTGCTGGTGAGGAGTCCACATCCTCCTACCCTCTGAAGTTTATAGGGTCAACGCCTGGCCGAGGGAATGAGGAGGAGCCGAGGCTCTTTTCTCAAGAGATTCCCTCTCAGGGGTTCAGCTGGACTCCTCCCTCCTGGAGGCCTTGGGTCCTGAACGGGCTCAATGTTCTATACAAAGACTCACGGGCATGACCGGCCTCCTCCCCTGCTGTGACCAATGCACTTTTTGTGTAGCTGTTGTTTTGTTTCGTTCAGTGGTCTTTGCTCTTTCCAAGCTGATTAAGGCCCTTTGCACCTTGTCTGATGCCTTGATGGATTCCGCAGAAATCCAATAAAGGCAGCAACATCTTGTTTAGTTTAAGTGGGGTAGAGGGACTGATTCAGTTAGCTCTCATGCTGACATCTAGAGCTCTCTTTGTTTTCTTCTCTGAAGTTAAAATAGTACATCAGGAAAGAAGATCTATCTTTTTCCCCTCTGTTTTCTCTGCTTTTTTTCCTTGCCATGACCAGAGAAGTGTCTTTGGCTTATCTCAAATCCTAATACTCAACAGTTTCTCTCCAGATTTACTCTATAAAATTCTTTCTATTTTTTTCATAAAATAACACTGTGATTTCTGACTTCTTCCAAGAAAGAATTTTTCCTCATCCTTTCTGTCTCCTCTGTAGTTATTCTGAAAGCATCTCTATTAATTCTCTCTTTCCTTTCTCAAAAAAACAGCCAACCACAACTTACAAATCTCACACATTCCATTTGGCTCTTAAAACAATGGTAGGCGTGAGTATCTAGTCTCCATAGGGGAGAGGCTTTTGAAACAGGTGCTATATTCAGAATACATTCTAAATAAATGTAAAATATTTTGGAGGAAGCCACTAGCAGCTGGGAACATTAGGAAAGATTTCATGGAGAAGGAGCATTTGAACTGAGCTGAACTCTGTATTTGCCTCAGTTTCCTCAACTGTAAAATGAGGATGATAATAATAGCCCTTATCTTGAAGGATTGTTGAGAGGATCAAGTGAGATAATATTTGTAACTTATCACAGTGCCTGGCACATAGTAGGAACTATGTAAAACGCTTCTTTCCTTTCCCCTATATTTTGTATTTGAGAGACAATGTGACATAATGGATAGAGAACCCCAAAGCCTGGAAGACCCGGGTTCGAATCCACCCTCTGACACATACCCAGTACATGACCCTAGTTAAGTCACTGAACTTCTCATTTCTTGAGGCAACTCCAAGACTATGAGTTGCAGAAAACAGCGCCTCCTGTGTGCCAGGCACTGTGCTAAGCACTTGACGATTATTCTCTCACAAAAAGAAGGGGTTTTAAGAGGTGGAAGTCCATCTATAACTCTGCAACAGGGGCTCCCTCCTACGTACTCCGACATTACAAAGATACCAGTGTGTCCCAGGGCTGCCCGCCGGTCATGCCTCCTTCACTCTCGCCATCTGACCCAGCCCATTTTCTTTTCTAATCATACATCTCTTTGCTGCCTTCCTTTCCTCTGCTTTGTTTTCATGGTTCTCCCTTTGTGATAGGTTTCAGCCTGCTCATACCATCACGCGCCTCTCCATAGTCCTCAGGGTGAGGCAGCGTGGTTAATGGAGTCAGGAAGACCTGGGTTCAGATCTAACCTCCAAAACTTACCATCTCTGGCACCGTGGCCAAGCCACTTCAACTTCCTGGGCATCAGTTTTCCCATCTGTAAAATGGGAGGTTTGAACGAGATCTCTTCTAAGGTCCTTTCTGGTTTGAAATCTACAATCTGATGATCGTTATTTTCAATTCTTTGTAGATCGTCCTGTTCCGTGACTTATAGGCCTACAACAATGTCGATGTAGTTATTATTGGTAGTATTAGAAATTAATATTAGAAAGATGGTTCTTCATTTCAGGGAGAAATCTGGGGTCCTAGCTGCTCTCCTGTTAATTCTGGGCCTCACTCTTCAGATATTTGAGATAGAAGTAGGGGGGTTGGTACTGGACCTGCAGCTACATTGGTATAGGGAATTCCCGGGTGAGGAAACTCCCCCCACCAAGGCAGATGACCATTTTCTCTGCACCTTCACATCTTAGGCTGAGATATTAAAGGACTCCCCCCCCTCCTCCCTCCCCGGCCTGTCTATGTCAGGGACAGGACTGGGTCTCATCTCTCACTGACTCTGAGGCCAGCTCTTCATTCCCTGCTCCAGGCTGGCTCTCAGGAGGTAGGAAATACTAATCAGTAAATACCAAGAATAAAGCAGTCCCTAACTAAAAACAAACACTCCCCCCCCCCCCAATATCCTTCATTCCTTAGTCCATCCTGTCCACAGGCAGCCCAG